AGATAAAGCTATTGAGGCTGTTTCTACGTATTATTTTATTTAGGAAGGAAGTACTATACCCCGGGCTCGCTCTCAGTCAGTACTAAAAGCTATAGTTTATAACCCTACTTCTAATTTATTAAAGGGCAGCCGCTTAGATCTTATTATACGATCCGTTTTTATTACTTATAATAAGGAGTAGCCTAAGAGGTACTTTATTTATATTAGCTAGGCCCTAGACTTACTTTTAAATAACTAGGGTTAGTTAGATAAACTTACCTATAAGTTCTATATATCTAATAACTTAACTAAACACTTCCGATATAAGTATTTATTTAAAGTCGTAAACGGTAATAAATTTAAATATAAAGTTTATAAATTAACGCTCGATTATAAGATGCACTTTTAAAATCACGCTATAAAAATATATAGTACCGTATTTTAGTCCTATAATATGGGGCACAAAGTTCTAGATAGCTAACTAAAAGTATTGAGGTTTTTAATTATACGTATTTTATATTATAAACTTTAATACGGGGGCACCCGTATATACGAGTTATAAATAATAACCTAATTAATTACTATACGTCAACTTTTTTAATAATAAATACTAATTAACGGGGCTTATATCAAAGGAAGTAACTTTCTAAATAAGGGGGATAAATATTTAATATCGGTAATAAAAATAAGCTAGTACGGATTAAAAAGAGCGTTTAGTAAATAATAGCTAAGTATAAAGTTATACCTTTTTTTGTAAAAAAAGTTCATTTCTAGTTAAAAAAAAAAAAATATAAAAAGGTTACGAATAAAAGGTAAGATTATATTTTTCTTAGTAAAGAGAGGTAAAATAGATTTATATAAAATAGTCTAGGCTTTTAATTAGAAGTAATTTGTGTAGTAGCTTATTATTTTTTATATAAGTTAAAGATAGCTTATATTATTTTAGGACCTGTTTAAGGGCCCGTCCTAGGACTCGTCTTAGGACCTATTTTAGATCCTTTAAACGAGGATTAGTCTCCGAATTTATTTTATTTATATAGAGTCTACCGGGGTAATTACTAACTCTCTATATTTAGTCGTATTATTAAACTAGGTATTAGAACCGCTATAACTAAGTACTAAAACTAGGTACTAGAATTAGGTATAAGAACTAAGTACTAGAACTACTATAATAAGGTATTAGAACTAGGTATAAGAACTAGGTATAAGAATTAGGTATTAGAACTAAGTACTAGAACTGGGTATTAAAAATATTTATTAAATTTAACGAGCTAGAATAGTCCGTAGGGCTAGGTCTAAATCCTAGATACGACGTAAAAAAGAGAAGTAGAAACGGCTCTATACTAGCGGCATAATATAGTAAAAATAAAAAATAATTATTTCTATAAGTATAATCCTATTTATTTAAACTAAGGCATTTATAGAGTAAAAATAGGATTAAATAAGTTAAGCCTAATTATAAAGGCTTTTTTGCTATAATTAATAATCTAAAAAGTAAGAGGTAATTAGCTATTTCTTAGGTAAGCTATAATTTTATTTTAAAAAACTTATATTTTATTATATACCTCGTTTATAATATTATATAACTCCTTATAAACTCTCTTTAAAAAACTCTGAGTATTGTTCTTATCCCTACCTCCCTTATTAAAGACTATTAATAAGTAATTCTCTAAGCCTAATTATATATTAATTAAGGAAACTTAAATTTATTAAGAGTACGAACTATAAGTATACCGTATTTTAATATTTAAGCGAATTATGCCCCTTTTCTAACTATTTTTTTATTATATTTTATAGCTTATATAGGAACTAAGTCTAACTAGCCCGCTACTTTTTCGAATTTAATATTAGAAAATATAATAAAAATCTTTAGTATTAAGTTAAAATCGACGCCTATAGCCTTAGCTATTTTTAAAAACCGTACCTTAAACTCGTAATATACTATTATCCTATTATAATCCTCCTCCTTAACTATAGGCGTAACGGGCTCGTCTGCGCTATTATTAATAAAGTTAAAATATCTCGTCTTTATTTTAATAAACTCGATTTATTTATTAAGCTTAGGGTATTTGTACGCTTATTAAAAAAGCGCTTCTTAGTCTAAAACGCCCCCGCTAACGAGGTTCCTTATATATATAAAGTCTAAACTTTTTTTTATACGAGCCTAGCTATAATTTATATTTTTAACGTTAAAAAAAACGTTATTAATATAGTAATAAGTAAGAGCGCGGTAGAGATATTAATACTTATAATTTTAATTAGGGGGTATTACTTACCGATCTTAATAGCTTAATTACCGGTCCTAGAACTAATATTGAGAATATTAAGAAGCTTATCCTCGGGGAGCTTTGCTGCCGTCAAACTACCTTCGAGACAGAGCTTAAATAGCTAGTATTGAAATTCTAGTCGAGCTACCTCCCTCTCTGCCTCCGCAACCATAACGGCTCATGGTTCCTCTTAATAATTTATATAATATGTGCTAGGCTTGAAATAGGAGCCAGTCTACGTGAGAGTCTCTTGTCTCTTACTTCCGTCATAGACAGCTTGGACTATGTCTTGGGATCCGTTTCCGAACCCGTCTCCAGACCCGTCTTGTTCTCTTGTTAGCGACCATCACACGTCTATCTGGCTGCCGTGATTGAGGGGAACGGGGTTGCAGTAGTGGGGAGGCAGTCTTGGGCCTCTGAGAAGTTTTATCAAGGCAGATCAACATTGGGCCGAGCACTGGAGGATCGCGCAGGCTAACACAAAGATGTGTCGCACACCACGCGTTGCGGTCAAGTGGCTTGTAAACCATCACAAAACATGTTGTCGGCGCGCGTTCTGGCATTGAGAATCCGATCGAGAGCAGCTCGCGCAGCTGTAGACGGAATGCGTCGGAGACGAACGTGTAGAAGGCGAGTACGAGAGTCGAAGCTAGGGGGGCGATTCCTGGCATGGTTGCCGGTTTCGCGACATCACTGAATGGCTGGAGCGGAAAGGAGATCCGGGGCCACCACACATAACACTCCAACTTGGCATTGCGTCTCAAGGATTGAATTCTCTGTCTGGGTTTGAACGCTATCTACAGTATTAATACGTCTAAATGATAGAAATCTGCCTCCGTCTTTTCTGGCGAAGCCAATTTCGGTTCACCTCCTCGTGCAGAAACTTGAAGTAACCCAGTCTCCTTGACGTAGTAACCCAGTCTCCTTGACGTAGTACTCCCGTCCCAAGTGAGGACGATGCCATACGATTGGCGAAGGCTTTCAACACTCGATCGGATTTCCAGACACCTTTCACTCTGCCTCTTCAACAGTGACGGCTCATCCCAGACCACTTCGATTAGTAATGGAGAAAAAGCTTCTTCTTAATAATATATAGTATGTGCTTAGTATATCCCAGAGGGCGACTGACTTCTGCTTCTGGCAGCTAGTATCCAGGCCGCCCGCGATACTCTATCTAAGTTATCACGAGACGTAGCTAGATCTATTACCCGTCTATCCTACAGAGCGTATAAAACGTGTCCCTTTATAACTAACTACCTCCCTTTAATATAGCTAACGACTTCTAAGATATCCTTATTCTAGTTAAGCTTATGATAATTAGGCTAGGTTATTGGTAATCGTATCTTAGCCCACGACCATGACGGCGTTAGTGTCGTGTTAACAGATCTCCAGTAAGGTCAGCAGCAGTGGCATAATGAATGGGGATAAGTCTGTTGGATAAACGATATTGATTTAATACAATACTACTGAGGTCCATTGATCAAAAGGTGATTGTTGTGCTTGATTGAGATATTTCCCCCTATTCCGGTCCGAGCGGGACTCTATCTTATATTTACTTATTATTACCGGTTCGTACCTATTATTTAATGCATTTCTAGCATCCCTTTATCCAGACACAGTCGTCAATCCAACAGGACTGCCCTACAAAGGATAAATGCTACTCGTTTATAGATCTACTGCAGGCCCAGCAGATCACTCTAGGCAATACAACCAGACTTATCCCCATTTCATTATGCCACTGCTGACTATACTGAAGATCTGTCACTATTCCTATCCTACTGACCAGCCTCCTGCTGCTGAATCTGGAGACTTCGTGTTAAATATTGGCCAATCCGATCTGTGTACCCAACTTATTGTGTTGTCGATCAGGTAATGCAAGAGGCGGTCGGAGCAATGTTGCAACCCGTACTTCCTTTCTCGATGAGAATCTTCAGATGAGGAAGGGTTTCTTGTTCTTCTATCTGCGTCTATGTTTCCTTTTTATCCCTTGATGTCGTAACCTTGTACCGAGCATAGCTAAGAGTATCCCATGTGACGGGCTCGACCCGGCACAATTATATTTGTAGTAAGCTAGATAAATGGCATCGGCCTTTACCTTAAACCCTTTACAGCAGGTGAGAGGATCAATAGGAACTGAAACCGATTGCTCTTAGCCGTTGGCAGCCCAGTAGCCAGGATGCGCAGTGCAGCAAGACTTAAAAGCTTGCCAATTGGAAGTACAGCACTATACCGCGTTAAAATCTGTGCGAGTTTACACCTGCGCGTGGGGTACTAACAGCACCGTCTTGTTGGTAGCTACCTCCGGGACAGCATGATGAGGTGTATCCAGAGTTGGAGTTGTCAGATCCCAGGCATTGCCAAATCAAGGATGGGCTGTTGTTGCGATACGCAGCGCATACACCGCTCAAGAAAGTGCTCTGAAACTCGCACGTTAGATTCTCATCGGGGAGGGAGGCTTCTAGGATTAGTTCTCACGAAGGGCAGCAAAGCAGCAAGTTGAAAGACCTTCATTGTTGTCCAAGTTATCTTATGAGTTGACTAGGGTGGCGCATGGCGTGTTGGACACCAAGTGTCGATGGCCAAGGTGGGAGTTCTTATATATATTCAGAGCTTGTTCACTGCCACAATCAGTCTAATAACTTCCCTCTCGCCTAATTTTTCTTGGCATCTGCTGTTAGTGAATGAATGAACCTACCACAAAATTACTAACAGCCGAAAGCTCTTCACCTCTCCTTGCCGGAGCCCGCATCCGCGATGGCCTCACAGCCGCCGCCGGGCACCGGGCTGATGTCGGCCGACACTGCTGACCCCGAACTAGGCTCCGGGACATCTCCGAAGCCGAACCCCACCACAAGAGCTAAGCGACGACGTGACACCAAGGCACTGCCGACTCGGCCTAGCCTAACGGGAAGCCAGCTTGACACCACCAACGACGCCCCTTCCTCGGCCGAGGGGCCCGCAACCTCTACAGCATCTGCTCCGACTGGGTCCGCCACAGGGTCCGTCTTGACAGCCCTTGCAGAAGAAGCCAGACAGTACGAGGCACGGAAAGACGTCTTTCTGACCATTGCACAGTCCGTTGACAGCGTTGTCGCCAGCTTCGACGGTTCTAGAAAGCAGATCGCGAAAGAAGCCAGTGGCTATGTCATCCAAGCCCTCAAGAGACTGATCAATCACGAGACAACCCCAGCAGCGGCTCGGAATTGGGCGGCTGTCGCCGCACCGATGACGGGCAACACCACTACGACGACCCGGAGCGACCAGAGCTCTGTCCGCCCAAAGGCCCCACTCCCCGCCCCGGATCAGCCGCAGGCGCAGCCGGAGGAGGATCTCCGCATCTTTGCCCGTGTCCCGGAAGAAGGCTTGGCCGTCGCTCGGAAAATCGCACCGTTCGCCGTACGACAGACCGTCTGTAAGGCTTTTGGCCTGGGGCTAGCGGACCTTCCCCACGTCTACCATATCAGTACAGGTTACTCTCTGAAGCCGCTGAACAAGCAAATACAGGAAAAACTACTTGCTAGTAAGGCAAAGCTGGCACAATGCCTCGGCGCCCACCAAGTCGAGAAGCCCATCAAGTGGCACACGTACGTTGTGCCGCGATGCCCAACAAAACTACACAGCATTGGCGGGGGCGTCCTGGACCCAGCCGCGCTCGTTGACGATGAGGTCTTCGCACAGACAGGACAGAAGCCTGTCCTTGCCCGACCGTCCCGCCTTGGGCCCAACCCAGTCACGAACGAAATATCTTGGCTCATATCGTTCACATCAGAGGTCACGCCCTTCAGGCTCTTCAACCAAAGCGGCAGATCTCTGCCCGTCAAGAAACGAAGGACGCTCATCCGACACGACCCCGGCTACCAGGGCTACCACTCCAACCGGTTCTGCGGACGACGACCGATCTACAGCACACGGCTAAGAGCGGCAGAAAATCAATATCAGGGGGGCAGAATCCGGAATCGGGAAGGCCAAGGATCTAAACGGCCAGCAGAAAAGCGCGGTAGAATCCTAAGAAAGAATGGCAAAAAGAAGAGTTTAAAATAGCAGAATAAAACTAGGGTAATAAAATAAATCGAAGTTCGCTAATAAATATAGTAACCTATATAAATAATAGAATTAAACTTAATATAGTAAAAACGCTAAACTAGGAATTAGATTCGTAAGGATAATAAAAAAATAAGTAGGGTCGAACTATTTTAAAAATAATAAAATTAATTTAGAGCGGGGGAAACTAAGTACCCGTTAAAAATAATAAAGCCCTTTTCCTATCCTTAGTAGTATAAGTTCGGATAATATAAAATAATTATAATAATAGCTTTAGCAAATTTTTAAAAAAACTCTTATATATACGTTATATACTATATAAGCCTTAGGAATTAAAGGCCGTAAGGGTAGACGAGACTAAATAGCCTAGAGATTACTAAGTAGCGATGTGACAGAATCTAGGATACCCTCGCTTAGGTGAAACTTACCGCATATAGTCATTACTTAGTTAACTACATAGTCGGGCCAGGATTTGTTAGATTGACGACTATGTTTGGATAAAGGGATGCTAGAAATGCGTTAAATAATATACAAGAACCGGTGATAATAGGTAAATATAAGACAGAACCCCGCTCGGACCGGGATAGGACGAAATCCCTTAAAAAAAAGCATAATAATTACCCTTTAATCGATGACCTCAGTAGTATTGCATTAAATCAATATCGTTTATCCAACAGGATTGCCCTACAAGGGATAGATGCCACTCGTTTATATAGATCTACTGCAGGCCCAGCAGATCACTCAAGTAATAAATAACTATACTCATCCCCATCCATTATGCCACTGCTGACCATACTGAAGATCTGTCACGTTTGCATGAACGGCTTGAACTGACGTGCATCCGAACCAGCTGGCGGAACTCGTCAAGGGGATCCACGGTATCGGACGCCGACGGCGGGTCACACGCCGTCGACGGAAGAGATCAACGTCCGAACCTGGCCAAAGTACGGCGGAGATCGGCGACACAATCGAAGTGGGGGTGGTCGGAAGCAGCGTGCGGGGAACGCCCGATGAAGCACTATCTCGGGCGCAGCCTCTCTGCTGATCTCTGGGGCATCCTCCTTGAACATAAGCTACGGCAGGCATTTCTCAAGCAGTCTTGCAGCATTAGCCACTCCACCTTCAAGCGCTGTCCCACTGATCTTTCGGCGGAGCAATCTGCCTCTGTGGCAACACACCCGACCATCAGGGCGATGACCAAAGCTATCCAGAAGCTTCGTCCAGGTTCACCAGGGTATAAGAAGGCAAACGAGCGATACGCAGCGAAAACGAGAGACTCAAGAGGGAGCTGCTGAAGTCTTTTAGGGATGATTGGACTGACGAGCAGGCCATAGACGATATTGAGCGCAAAATCCATGGCGTTAGGTTTTCCAAACCGGCAACGGTAGACACCTGTCGCCATCAGCGACTAGCACAAAAGCAATTACGACAAGGTCACAGCCCAGATCGTTACTACGCTCGAAGACTAATATTGACGGAGGGATGACGCCATTGATGTAGTATCTGCGTACTGTCTTGTGTGAGAAGGATACACCGTGCGCCGGCCTCGCCCTTAGTTGTTAGCGAACGATGTGGCTCTCGACTCACCTCGTGATCCGCCGGCGGATAGCCTGCTGAATGTCGTTATTCTGTCCATCCCGCAAATCGCGAGAAGCCGCGGCCGAGGAGCTACTTGATATGAGTTAGCCAGGCCATGGACCTGCAATCAGACGATAAGCGTCGGTTGATTGACCTCACCCGTGTGTTCTACACGTCTGGTGACTTGACTAAAAACTTTCAACTCAAATACTTGTCCAAAGTTTCGACTATCGACAAGCCAGAGTCTAAAGTCTGGCAGTATAACCATTAAACACAAGATGCACCTAAAGAACCACGCACTCAAGATTCACGGCACCGTGTCATGAATAGTGTGATATCTGACATAGGGTTAGGGGAGAGTCCGACGGATTGAGGTATCCAACTCTTTAATAATTCTAGAGTCTATGTGAGTAGTGTGAGTTTCTATAGGCCTAGTCTACACTGGTTACCCTGAGACATGTTTACCGCAAGAGATCAATTTCTTGGGGCCACAGCGTTGAGTTTGACAAAGTCTTCGAAGCATGTAACCTAGCCCTAAGGTCACACCCAAAGCGCTCCTCGAAGTATACCGCCTTAATTGTCGCAGCTTCTAGAGCAGTCATGCTTCTCCGCGTTGTAACGAGAGTGACAATTACACTGCACGTCTTGGACAGGGCGACATGATCCAGATACGGAGCCACGATTAGGGTTTTTAGGGTCGGTGTTCTTATAGTTGACCGTAAAGGACTTTCCAAGCGAGCCAAATTTGCGGTTAATGTAGAAAAGAGCGTTGCCCTTGCGCAGACCATTGTTGCAGTATTCAGCTGGCTCATTGCGCTTCCAGTATTCGAATTGGCCGCAGTCTACCCCGTAGTATCCGTTCACTGCGAAAGTCAAGTTAGCGCAACTCAGCCATCAGGGATGTGGAGGAGCAAACGTACTAGCGCTGTCAACCAAAACCCAAGGGTCTACATGGTCGTCGAAGCAAAAATCTAGAAAGCACTGGACTCTTTGGCAGTCACAGTAGCTGAAACCGCAGTCGCGCTTTTCAAGCTCGAAGGGAAGGTAGTTGGAAGATGATACACTGGCTAAGATAGGAGAAGCCAGTAAACCAGTGAGGACTACCAGAAACACAGAAGGCATCTTGTTCAGGCGCTTATGAATCAATGTGGTGTACTGTGAAATACTGTGGTTCGGTATTAAGCGGCCAGTATTGGGAACAGAAGTAATTGGTCCTGTGTTCTTATAGATGTCACTCTTGCTAGTCGTAACACGCTTCGTCTGAGCACAAACAATCTCGGGCGGACATTTCCGAGTCATGAAGCATCTGTTAGCTATCACAGAGAGCCAATCTCCCATATAGTGAACGATAAACCGTATTAGATTGGGGATTTACCATCATAACCTTCCTCCGCTGACCTGTGCCAAATTTCATCTGCCCATGGAGCCACTCAAAAAGCGGAAACGTGTCGGTGGTTCTCCTGTGGCTGGGTCATTTGGGACGACAGAGCAATGCGATTCGTCGATGATTTTCATTTTTGATACTAACTCGAGTGTTTTGGATCTGATGCCATAGGTTTCTTGCTAGATCACGCGAGTTGGAAGATCGAAATACGACTGATATGTCGTGTGGGAATATTACTGCAGGCTCTGCGTACGGAGTAGAGGCTTACTAGATTGGGCCCATTTCAATGCTATAAAGCGAAGCGGTCACCTCCTTGAGATAAGGGAGACAGAAAGACCACAGTAATTATGAAAACTTCACGTCGCAAGGCACGAGCAAGGGGTGATAGGGAAACTGACTTTGTTGATTGACTTTAATTAGTTGCACTAGGGCTGTTAAGGCTAACGCTGGACCATAGCTGTAATGAATTTCCGAAGCACATCGATTACGAATTGTGGGTTTCACGGAAGGGCTCTGATGTTGGCGCGAGATTGTTCTAAGAGGAGCTCATCGTCATGTTATCGACGGTATACTTGGTCTATAGGGGTAAGTTTAAACTCCCTACCAGGTAGCGTGGGTCTGGCCAGGGTAGAGCAGTGACTCTCAATGGCCAAATTTGTGTTCGACGTGCACAAGAATCTCGAAAGTAATGCTGCTAATGTAATCTCGAAAAGCACGGGCGAAGATACCTGACAAGGGGGTTAAACTTTAGCCTAATACCGTAGTAGGACTCTGACGAAGATGATTGTAGAGCATCACAATATCTCCAAATTGTCCTTTATTAAATAGTGGTTTCTTATTACACTAGAAAGCCTCATCGCTCACAGCGCCTGACTCGCATACGATATGTCCTGTGCAGTGGACAACACTAGCTCCAACATAGTTCGTAAGTACTTTGCGAAGGTTAATTACTAGAAGGACTCGTTAAACCTAAAGTTCAAGCTAGAGCCAGGCGATACCACTGCGAAGCCAACATCTTACTAGTCCGGTCCCTTATAGTATTCGTTTAGAGACCGAATTAATGTCACTAAGTTTTCCTAAGAACCTTAACCTAGTACAGTATCTCATCGGGTACTAATAGACCCCATTTTCGCCAAGGGCCTAAGAACGCTCTCAGTCAACTAGTAGATCTCTAGTAACTACCTATTATAACGTAGTGGGCCCGTATAAATTAATCTTATTGAGCAGCAGTTAGATAGGCAGGGGTTATTAATTTAATTTAATTTAATTAATTCCTACTCGGTTTTAGCTACTTTAGTTAGTAGATGCCCGGATAGCGGGGTTTAGCCAACAACTAACGCACTCCGGACGTTAATCTGTAGTACCCTACTTCGCTAGTATAAAAAACTAACTAGCTATCTCTAAATCTCCTACTTTACTCTCTAATCTTAACTACCCTTAACTAGTACCTCGTATAGTTCGCAGTTCTTTCTTAATATATATATATATCTAAGCTCTATTAAAGTCTTTCTCCTTATATAACGGTTTAGCATACCTATAGTCTCCCCCTAATGTTTAGCTTAGTTTAGTATATAACTCAATCCCGTGTTACCTAAGTTATCAAAACCTGCGGCATTGTAGTAAAATATATAACGCCGTTTATTATCTTTCCTAACATAGGTAGTTAGTATTAGTAATACCTAGTACTCTTTGGTTAAAAAAGAAGTCCTAGAGCCCGATCTTTTCCGTGCGTATCTAGACTAGGAGTACGCCCTAGTATTTACTAAGGCCTTCGTAGAGTTCGAGGACTTTCGTTATTAGCTTCGGTATAAAACTAAATAATATTCTCCCTCGCGTCTCGGTTTCCTAATTAATTCGCTACGCGTAATAGGACTATTTATGTAACTATATTTTAACTATTGTCCTAAGTTTAAGTAAAGCTCTCGGCTTATCTACTTTAAAACCTATTTATCCATCTGTCTAGCCTCTATCCTATCGCCTCCTTAGTAACGATATTTACTACTTTATTACCCTAAATACTAATATAAGCAAGTACCTATTAGAGCTCGACTTTAAGTCCCTGTTCTTAGAAGGCTTATATCTTTTTTATAATAGCCTTAAAAAAGTACGCGCTAGACTTCCCTTTTAAATTAGCTAACGATTTAATAGTAGCTTAGTTATTAGTATATATAAAGACTTTACTTTAGTAGTTTCTATTTTCCTTATTTACCTAGGCTATCTCGAGGGCTAGGACGATACCCTATAGCTCTCCCGCATAAATAATAAATATCGTATCGTCTCCTATATAAGATTTCCTAGTTTATTATATAGTTATACAGACTACTACCGCTCTAATTTAACTATCAATACTACTACTATCTATATAAATATAAGCCGCGTTAGTATTCTTTTCTAAATAACGTTCGTGTTCTTTTTTAGCTTATTCCGTACCTCTAGTAATATAAATACGCAGTCCCTACTACCACGGGGGAGTAATAAAAAGTAGTATATACTCGTACTATTATTATTAATTAATTATATCTTATCCATTGCGTATTTAGTTTATTATTATCTATTTCAGGCTAATTTTCTTTCCTTTATATACGGTAACTTCGGCTATACTTACTCTACTAATAATATTAATATTATATTTCTATATTTATTATTTAACTAGTAAGAGGTGCATTTCCATATCTAGTATTAGGAACTAGGTTACTTTATATACTCTGTATATTATCCTAGCTACTCTAGCTTAGAGCCTCTATAGTCTATTTAATATTTTTTTCGTATAGCCCATCTCTCTCTAACTACTATTATACCATAACGAGTAAGCATATATTATTTAAAGTATTACGACTCCCTTATAAATTATCCTCATTTCTCTTGTTATTACGCCCCACGTAAAACAACTACTTAAACTACTAAGTACTATAATAATATTCGTAACCTTACGTTCTATCTCGTTAATATATTATTTCTACTTAAGGGCTAAGTCTATAATAAGACCGAGGTATTTATAAGTTATTTTAAGCTTAATTTTTCCCTACTAGCTATTAAGTATTTTATTTATATTAATTCGGGTTTTTACTCTTATAAAGTAAGTAAGCTAGAACTTTTTGGGCGTAAGGACGGATGTATAAATAAGAGCCCATATCTTGGCTTTCTAAAGCGCTTCTTAAAGCTTTTAGTAAGTTTCTTCCGTACTATCTCCTATAGTAAAGATCGCTACGTCGTTAATAAAGCTAGTAGTTATTATATCTCTGGTCTTATTATAACTATCTAAGAGATCTATGTTATAAAAGAGGTAGAGTATTAGCAAAAGGGGCAACCCTTATAAGATACTAGTATCGAGCTTATAAATTTCGGATCGGAATCTATCTACGTAAATCTCCGTCTCTTAGCATCTGAAAAAACTAATAACCTAACGTACCGTTGCTTCGTCAATTCGCCTCTTCCGCAAATTATATAAAAATCAGTAGTATAAAACATTATTAAAAGCGCCTAATACGTCTAAAAGAAATAGGCTTATTACTATTCCCTATTCTAAACCCCAGGCTTCGTATATCTATCCCTAATTTAATATAATACGTATTCTATTAACTAACGTCTTCTCCTACCTATATAGCTATTTAATAGCAATCCGTATATTTTAGTAAAATAGCTCAGTCTCTTTATTATAATAATATCTATAATTTTACCTACCGTGTTTAAGAGGGCTATCGGCCTATATACTTTAAGCACTATATAATTATCTTTACCTAGCTTCCTAAGTACTACCGTAATAAACCTTTTAAAGTATTATAAATAATATCTTAGTTAGAGGCTTTAGTTAAATATATGGACGAGATATAATATAATCTATAGCCTCGCTACTTAAAGTACTAGGTTAGTAATACTGTCGGGGCCCAGGGCCTTTAGTAGTACTACTTCTTAAATAGCGTCTTTTACTTCGCTTTCTAATACTAGTAGTAGGCTAATCTAGTTACTATATAATACGTTATTAATATCTTTAAGATTTATTTTGAGTAGTGGGAAAAAAAAAGCTTTTTTAAAAAATATAGCTTTCTTTTTGGGCGTTATAATAATTTAAAACGTATTAAAATTCTTAATTTCTAATATAATGGTTAATAACTAGCTCTATTTATTCCGGGCCTATTTAGTAATCTTCTATAGCAATCTAAGTAACTTAGCTACTATTTCTACTACTTTGTAATATACTTATTAAAAAGCTTTCTTTATAATACGGCCTTTCTTATTACGTACTATTTTATATATCTCCTAGCTCTCTTTTATATATCGCTCGCTATAGTTATAGTAGAGTTGCTTTGTCTTAGCTAAAATAGCTACGTACTACTTATCCCAGCCTCTCCTAAACTTTAATAAAAAGGTATTAATTAGGACCGTAGCTTTAATAATAGCTAAGAGGGCGTTAATAATTATCTTTATATATCTATTGAACGCTGCCTTCGTTCTTAACCTTCGTAACTACGACAGCGATCCCAAGAGTATCTTAATAAATATTTCCTTATTAACCACTTTCTACTTTCGTTTCTCCTCTCGCTATAGCTTAATTACTACTAAGTATAGCGACATTACTATAAGTAAATAATCGGAGTTATAAATAATATTATAATCTACTTTGTATCTAATCATTTAGTTAACAAAACCTACAATAATAAAATAAAGGTTAATAGTTATTTAGTAATCTCCTTTTTCGTACGTAATAGTTCCTACTCTTAGTTAACTCGTAAGGTTTATATCGTCTATTAGATTTAAAAGCTTAGTTACTTCGTAATCTAGCGCTCGGATATTACTACCTCCCCATAGCTTATAATATAAGTTAAAATCGCTAACGACAATTTACTTAACGTACTAGTGTATTTCTAGTATTATTCGTAGCTACTATAGGACTAGCTACCGTTCTTCCTCTTGTAATAACGGGTTATATATATTATATAGTACTAAGCTTCTTTTTAGCCCCCAAGTCGTATTAGATTATTTTAACTATAAATAATCCTTATTTTATTGTTACGTGCCTTATTCTATAGTTCTTCTGTTCCGTAAAGAGTAAGTATATTCCTATCTTACTTATATATATAATATATAAGAAAAAAAAATACTAATAAAAGCTAGAACGAAATTTTTAAAACTAGTACTAAATTAATCGAACTACGCCGGCTCGTATTTATAAAAATTACTTTAAGTATAATATTATCCTTAGTATTAATTTTACTTTTAAAAGGCCTATTCGTAGCTACGAGTAGGCTTTAATTATAAAAAATTTAAGAGTAAGCTATAAAATACGATATATTAAAAAATAATATTATTACTACCTCTGCTAATAAGTCATAGGTTTTTATAAGGAGTATAATAACTGCGCCTAAATATATTAATATAATAGTTATTAATAAGTTATAAGTTACTTATTACCCCTAATAAAGTTTATAACGTCCCGTAATAGTAATAATAATAAGCTTAATAAAAAAGTATCACTTCCTATATAGAGGAAGTACTAAATATTAAGTATACTATAATTAGTACTGTAAAATACTATAAATTATAAATAGCTTAGTTACTTATTACCCCTCTCCCCCCTCTATAAAAAAGGAGTATTGTCCCTTTAACGTTTAATAATATTTATAAAATTTATATACGAGTTCTTATACTTAGTATTTAAATAAATCGACGTAATTAAAGTATTATATTTTATAAATCGAGACTAACCTTAAGTAGTAAACGGTAGTAGTAGTTAAAAAATAGAAATATAGAGCTATATAAGAACTTAATAGGAAGTAATAAAAATATTTATAGTTTAACTAAAATACGATATATACGAATTTAAGAGGATATAAATAAGAGAAATAAATAAAGCTGAGCGCTAGGGGGAGATTATAAGTACGCTAAACTAAATATAATAATAAGTATTAATAGAGCTAAAGTAAGAAGACGTAAAAAAAGGAATTTAAAAATAAAGAAAATAATTATAATAAGAAGAAAGTAGTATAATAAAAAGAGAGTCTTTAATAAAGAGAATTAATATAGAGGATAAACTGCGTAGTGAGGAATTAAGAAATGGCTAGCCTTAATTTAATAGTAGGGCGAAGTAGGGCGTTATGACTTATTATAGACGCGTCGGCTATTAGCTAAACCTTACTTTCTGGGCATAGCTGTGGATAAGAGCAGCCAAAACTGAGTAGCAATTAAACAATCTAATCCAATTAATAAATTAATTAGTCAATCTTTTTGCTTGTCCCCTTCGAGCGAAACTTTACTAACGACGGCATGAAAATATTGTGTATGGTAGGGCTAAATTTAATGAATCCTCTGTCCCCAAGAAAATTAGTCTATTGCAATACCATCCACAAGTCATCTTCTCTGACCACAACGCTGCATGCATGCGTAGGCGAGCGTCTGTTGCATTTTTTTCACGAGAAGCCATCCGGTTGGGCGAAGACTCTTCTGCCGTGACAGTCAGCTACATAATCACTCAGAATATCCTCACACAAATGAGCAGGTTCTAACACATTGTCTCTTCCTAACGTCCCTATAGGTTCTATCTGCCCCACAGGCTGTCCCTGCTTCATTCGATCACATACTGATTGCAAGGCCAAATTCGTTCATCTCCTCATTGTACAGCCAGTTGTGAGCCGCGTGATGTATTCCAGTGCGACTTCAATATATGAAGTCCTCTCTGGATATAAGCTGCAGACGCTTCTGCGGGAAAATACCCGTTGTCGGGGTAGTGAAGCTAAGAGAGCGGGCATAAGCAACATATCAAGACGGTAGGCACCTTAACCATAGTTGGTTTATGCTTGGATTGTGCTGTGAAAGATGTTTTACAACGTCGACGAGGGGCTGCAAAATGTTTTGATCGAGGGTGAGAACCCTTTCGTAAAATGCATTGCCATGGTGCGTCTCATGAATATCAGAGATCGAGTGTCAACAAGTCTCCGAGCGCCACGTCCGAGGCCTCTCGAGAGGCTTCTGGTGGAAGCGAGAGAGCATCACCAGCAAACGAGTCGAAGTGACTACCGACAGAGGTTAGGTCGTATGCCAGCATCCAGCTGTCGTTTGCGCTACTGGTTGAAAAGCCAATTACTACAGGTTTCCCGGGAGATATCTCGTCAAATTCTGTCTCTGCCGTATTGGTATGGTGATTCGAGCATCCAAGCGGGTACATATTGATCCAATTCGTCGAGGCTGTGCTTGAATCGTTGGCTTGCAGGGGCCATGAATTCACAAAGTTGTTTAACCCCACTGTGTGCACCGCCGGATATCTTGGCATTGTTTCCAGCCCAATATCAAGGCCACTCGGATCGTTGACATTGGATGGAACCGTATCAGGCAAGTTTGTTTGAGTTGCTATGCTGGACGATTTCGAGGAGTTGCGGGAGGCTGACGGTGTTGACTGAGTGGCTACCTTGCTACGACGCTGCTTAGTCGGTCTTCCCAACCGACGCGGCGGGCTGTAGAAGCAGTCGATCTGGAGCCTTCGGCAGCGATCGCACTTGGCAGCTCCAGATTCGCTTGAGCACCGGCTCTTGAGAGATCGGCAGCGGTCGCAGGCACTTCTTTGAGCGAACGACATGGCTGGCGGAGCGTTCGTGTAGATACGCCATGAGAATGCAAAGACGGCTTGCGTATGGTGTCAAATGGGAGCAGCCGAAGGTTTTATGGCCTACATTTCGCAAGTCTCGCACACGATGCCCAGCAATAGTCGGGCTACCCGGACTGGTCTTGGTCTCGTCAGGTTCATTTGCACGTTCCACTAGTGTCCGAGTCCTTGCGTCGGAGCGTGGGGGACACCTGAGATGGTTAGGTTTCCTCTCCCTTTCCAGGGATTGGCCATCAGGCGCGACGCCAGTATACTATGTTAAGGTTCTCAGAAAACCTTGGTAATGTTAATCCAGTCTCTAAACTGATGTTACAAGGGATTGGACTAGTTAGACATTGGCTTTGCCGCGAGTCTGGAAAGGCAGACTGGGAGTGGTATCGCGTGGCTCTAACTCAGATTCTAGGTTTCACGAGTCCTTCTAGCAATTAATCATCGCAAAGTACCTAGGAACGTTGTTGAAGCCAGTGTCTATCTACCATTGGGCAGGACATGTTGCATGCGAGCCAGGCGGTGTGAAAGATGAGGCTTTCTAGTGAAATCAGAAACCACAATTGAACAAAGGATAATCCTCGCAGCGGTGCAGCGTTAGCCTATGAAGTCCTAGTGCAACTTATTGAAGTTAACCAAGAAAGTCGATTTCCCTGTCAATCTTTGCTCTTACCTTGCGACGTGAACTTTTCGTCATCACTGTGGTCCTTCTCTCCCTTGTCTCAAGGAGGTGACCGCTTCGCCTCCATAGCGTTGAAATGATCCCGATCTGGCAAGCCTCTACATAGAGTCTAATATTCCTAGATTCTAATATTCCTACATAACATATCAATCGCATTTCCATCTTTCAACTCGCGTAACTCAGCAAGGAAACCGCGGCACCAGTTCCCAAAAACCCGGGGTTTGTATCACAGCTGAAAACCATCGACGAATCGCATTGCCCTGTCGTCCCGAGTGACCGACTCAGTGAGTGGATCCATGGGCAGGTGGGAATTTGGCACAGGTCAGCACAGTCAGGTTATGTTGGTAACTACGTGACGGCAACCCAATACACATTTCCTCTCGTGCCTAGATTAGGGACTTATTACTAATCCTCTAGCCCGTTCAGTCTCAAAACGCACACCAGCAGGGGTCTCCTAGCTTGGTTGACGCGAATGGCTCTTCAGCAGCCCTGTGCTAACCACGGATAGCGACGCACCGCTGAAGGAAAAGCTCCTCCCATAAGTTGCCCACGAGTCAATGTTATGTTTTCCAATACTATTCCGAATTGTTCAGGAATTCCGGGCGCAAAAGAAGGGGGTGAGGAAGAACAGGGGCTCAATTGTCGTCGGTAGGTATGTAAAAGAACATTGAAGCGCATCGTCACAGGCTCGCTATCGCTATACTCGTAGCGAGTGAGCCTCGTAATAGTGCGTTGCCTGTTCGAACTTCTCAAACGTGCCCGGGTCTCGTACCGGGCATTCCAGTAGGCTTCGGCTTGACCTGTCGGAGGCGGCGGTGGTGGCCCTGGGTCCTTTGCAGTCCTGGCAATCGGCCATAGGGCTTGGGTATGGCGATTCTTTGAACAGTACACTGAATGGGTTGGCGACAGTTTCCGCCCGCAGTTACATCTAAAGTCACCTTCATGCCCAAAGCGCCTATGGTAGGAGTGGAAGTGTCCGTGGCTAGAGCGCGTGACTAGGAGGTGATGCAAAAGAGTGCGAGGCAAGTCTAGTTCTGGGGTGCATCAGAGGACCACGGCAGTTCCTGCGTACCCAGTTTGTGCTTCTGCTTGGACTTATTCCACCATTGCTGGGAATGGCTCCGGCATGCGTTCTAAATTTATTCGCTATTCCAGCGTATGAGGCCAGTGGCGGAGGGTTGGGCATCGGGAGGGCAGCGTGTTTCTTTGCAAATTTATCAGCTCATTCGTTTCCAGGAATCCAGATGTGTCCAGGCGACCAGTGGCATTTGATATTCCTTGCCTGCTGGGCGTCGACGATCTCTTGCATAGCTGCTTGCGACCTACCTGGAGAGCTACCGAAGCCTGAGATGAAGCTCAGGGCAGAAGTATGATTAAGGCAGAAGTGTATCGGTGCGATGGAGGAGGTGGCTAGACGAAGTGCTCGCCGCAGGCCTTGCCGGGCTCCTTCAGCTTCGGCATCAAAGACCTCTGTGACCATAGCTTTTTGCGATGACTTGAGGGCCGCGGTGAATCGCATACCCGTAGCCCACTGCGCTTTCGGCGAGCATCGACCCGTCTGAGTAGACCACGAGGTCAGAGGCCGAAAGTCCCCTGATCATCTGCTGGAAGGCAGCCGAGGGTTTCTTTTTGGTGTCTCTCTGAGGCACAGGTGGATTCGGAAGGATCAGGACCAGCCGTGGGCATGGGGGCAGTAGAACATAGGTCTGCTGGAGTCAGGTATCCCTCCCGGAGCAATTAGGGGCTCGCCCCTCCAGCCGAGGGACCAGTGGGTGTAGGACGTCACTTCGACGTAGCCTCGCGGCATTGCGCCATCTTACCCCTTCTAGAGTGGCTATGGCGGTGGGCAAACCTGACTCTCTGAACAAGAGGTCAGTCAGGGTAGTGCGTCAGACCGGGAGCACGGCCCGGGCGAGTGAAGTGGCCTTTCTGACCGGTGTGTACGAGCGGTTCGCGGGGGTAGTCCCCGTTCGGGGCGCTTTTGGGAGATTGGCCGGCTTGGTACAACCCGAAAACCAACCTCAAAGCCAACCAGAGCTGACGGGATAACACAGGCCGTCACGGCAAGTCGCGGAAGCTGTGGGACGGGAAACAAAATTAAAGAAAAAAATTATACAAGAAAGGAAATATCCTCTCTCCTAAACATGAGAATCTGGTCTTGTTTATTCCGCTCTCACCGCCGGTCCGTCCGTGTGGTTCATCTACACAGTAAACCCCATTTGCCGCCTCGCCCATTTTTTCGTGTCATACTTAAACCAACGACTCCGCAGAGTCATTTCTCCCCGCCGAGGTGCACTCTGTTCCCGGCAATTTGACTCTTTGTAGAGACATCCTTTGTCCGAATCACGCCAGTAGCTTCAGAATACTCTACCGTGATTTCGTGCCCCGCTTCAATGCCCTTACTCACTAGGATGATGCGTTGCGTACTCATCCACACAAATTGCTGGAATTGCGCATTGGACTGGCGACTGTGATTGATGAACCTCGTAAAGTTGCCCTGCCGACCTTGCCAGATCTGATAGGCTCGGCCACCCGTCGAGCTATCCATGACGTCTGTTTTTTGCAAATCTCTCGTGATAAGGCCCACAAATTCACCTATCGCCGCGCCGCGCTCAAACGGACACAGAGCCATCAGGCCGTTGTTGCGTCCGTCAGAGGTCCGGAACACCTGCACCGGAGAGGGGAACCGGCGTCCGAACCCAAATAACGTCGGGAAGCAGTAGCACGAGTTGGTCTTAGGGTCTTCGGACTGTTCCCGCCCGCACGATTGACATGTGTGTACGCCTAGGACACAAGCCACGGCGTCCACTGGCGGCACCCACCGTGGGTCATCGGTACCCCACGCGCTCATATCTATGACTGAGTGTTCAAGCTGCTCAAAGCTGAAGTTAGGGTTGTACTTGAGGTATGTCGACCGGAGCGATACCGGAACCGAACCGTCCCTGTAGACTACCCAGTCGTGTGGGTGGCCGAAAAAGCGACGCTGCGTACGTTCACCGACAATCACGAGTAGATGCCGCCATGTGGGGTGCAGCGTATCGGCGGCGACCTCAATCTGCGGCCGGAGGCACCGGAGTCGCTGCATGCTATCCGGGTCAAATCCAACTCTGTATTTGCAGAAGCGGTAGAATCCCACGCCGGAAAAGACAAGCACTGCCCAGCCTCCCGCGTCCTTGATGTCCTTGTAACCGCGCCAGATGGCCATCCTGTTTCGCAACTCCTTCTCGGACCACCCAAAGTCGTTACATGTCTTGATGAGCGTCGCTTTGCGGCGTTTGGCGCGGGACATACTGGGTTTAGTGATGGCAAGTAGCTCGACGTACGAGTCAAAGTGCTCAATCCACCGCGCTTGGACAATGACCTCGATCAGGCGGCAGGCGCAGCTGGTTTGCGTGATTTCCCGGCAAAAAATGTTACCGCGATTGAAAATCCCTTCGATCTCAATATCAGACAGCGTGCCCTCTGCTGACGACGCCTGGAGCTTGTCGAAACCCAGCTGCTCAGGAAAGTAAATCTTGA